CCTGAGTTCATGCCTGAAGATGGAGAAGACTTCTCATCTTCAGAGATGAACTAAGTGTTTATGAAATGAACACAATCTTTTTGATTTTTGTTAATGGTTGGGTACATTCTTTTTTTGCCTTTTGATTTTTGTAAATGCAAGTTATGCCTAGGCAGCAGTAGGAAAGTAAGTCCTTGAGCTTTTTTTGTTTTCAACATCAAGGCAACTACTCAAATGTACTCCAATCAGTTTTCTTTCACTACCACTCACAAGATGTAACACTGATGACTTAGTAGAACTTTAAAAGTAAATTTAAATATCATCATTGCTGTGATTATGTGTTGTGTGTGTGGGAAATATATGCAGGGACTTAGCAATTCAGACAGTAAAGACAAAGACACTTCACTTTGTATTCCTTGTGGGAGAGGAGCCTTGGAATGTGTTGGACCACGCCATCCCCTTGGTCAAAACCAGAGTGGCTGCCCATGTCAAAACCAGGCACCCAGTCTCTGCCCTGCCCCTCCTCTGGCCCAGCCTCCTGCTCTTCATCGGATTCGCTCCCAAATCCTCGCATGGGCTCGTCATCTAACGAGCTTTCCTCATATTCACTATCAGCGATGACTATGCCTGGAGACGGGAGAGTATCAGATTCAGATCCGTCATCATCCATCTGACTCTCTCCGTCCTCAAACACTGAAACTTCTTTCTTTTCCTTCTCGTCTTCTTCCTTCAATCCTTGAAATTGATTTTCGCTCTCACCAATTTCATGAATCTGGGATTTGGATCTCAAATCCATAGAATCCATTTGTAGGCGGAGGAGGGTATAAGGGAAGACTGATTTTAAGATGGAGAGAGGGCGATGAATTTTGAGAGGCGGCTGAGAGAGGCGGAGAAGGAGAGACAGAGAGAGAGAGAGGAATAGATAGATCTAGGGTTTAGATAGAGGAAGAGAAGAGCGAAGAAGGAGAGAAGCAGCATGGAGGTGTAAATGCAAAAAGGGAAGGGCAGGTGTGGCGTAAATGAGAGGAGGGGTATATTTGTCTTTACACTGCCCTTTTTTGGGTTTGGGAAGGTATTTTTAGGACGAGAAAAAAAGGAAAGTGGGAAGATGGTTTTAGGACGGAGGGAGTATATAATTAGAATCAAATTAGATCTAAACTTATTTCAATATTATCAGTACCAATCAGATGTAACATGACCTTTGTCTTCAAATGTGATTAAGAGACAATTGTGTCATTCGAACATGTTAAAAAAGGAGGAAATGCTACTAAACCCATTGGGGTACACCAAGACCCAACTAAGCATACAAAGATACTTACATTATGTTTGGTTCAAGAATTTTGAAAGAAAAAAATATTTTTTTCTCATTTTCCCCACCAAAATGGAAGAAATTTAGTTTTTCTCTAAGTACATATTAATTTCTCACTTTATTTTTCTTTCATTTTTATTTTCATTTCCCTCTCAAATTTCTTGAACCAAACATAGTGTTAATATCTATGTTTGCACAAACATTATTAACACACCATTTGGATGCTGAGAAAAAAGAAAAAAAGAAAATTGATGGTGAGAAAAGAAGCATTTTCACTTGTTTGATTGGATGAGAAAATGAGTAAAAAGAGAAAAAAAAATTGTGGGTCCCACTTAAAAAGTTTTCTCACCCACCTTGGTGAGAAAACATGTACAAAGCTTTCTTCTCCCATTAATTTCCTTTTCTTCTACATTTTTCTCTTTTTTCACCATTTTTTTTATTATTTTTCTATCAATCCAAACATTAATTTTTTTTCACATTATTTTCTCACCATTTTCTTTCCTTTATTCTCTTTCTTATCATTTTCTTTCCTCTCATTTTCTCCCCTCATCCAAACAAAGGCTAAGTGTCTCTGTGGGCCTATTTGTACATTGGTGTACACTTGGCATACCCCAAGTATTATTCCAAAAAAGGATCAAGACTCATCCTAATTATTCTCATGGATAAAATCACACACAATATATAAATATATATAGACATTAATCATATGTGGACACAGATAATTATTGTTCATATTTGTATAACATTATTCGTCATTGTCATAGTGAGATACCTGTAGTGAATTTTTAACTTTCTCATTCGTGGAGCACGCATGATAGCTCTAGGTCAACATTAGCATGAGAGTGGGGTTGGGCCGTTGGAGTATGAAGTGAGAGTGGGTCTCAGGGTTTGTAAGTAAAAAAGTAAATTTAATTATAGCCAAAATAAAGCATCTTATAGCATTTACAATAGCGGATTTTTCCGCCCCGCACTAACTTCTCCCATATCAGCATTCCACTAACTCTCCGCCCCCC